TGCTTTGCACATCAGAACCTCTGCCAAGGTAAGATATTCCAGCAGGATTACTCATATAACCCATTTTATTCACCATTTCTCAAATTCCAGTGCTGTGATAGTCATCTATGTAGTGTAACACTAAAAGCCTTATGTGTTGAGCTTGGTGGACTGAAAACAAAATTCTTCTTTTCTGGTAGACTACGTGTTTTCTCTCTCTATTTTTTTCTCTCTTGCAGTTTATCATGTTGACATACCTTTTYATGTTGGCTTGGCTGGGAGTCACAGCATTCACCTCACTGCCAGTTTATATGTACTTCAATCTGTGGACCATCTGCCGAAACACCACATTGGTGGAAGGAGCAAATCTCTGCTTGGACCTCCGTCAGTTTGGTAGGTAGAAACAGGATCTCTGACTATAAAACATTCCCTCATATGGTTTTACTTAAAGAACTGCCTTTTGACAATATTACAAATCATGGCGGAACCATCATTCCTTCTACCAAAGACATATTTATCAAACAACTCAGTTTTAAGATGTTCCTTTTTAGATTTAAATAAGTATGAATTCAAGGGCTAATGAACATTGGTCTCACAAAATATATCATGCATATATATTTGGATAGGCTGTCAGATTGAGAGTCCTGGTATGGACAGATTAAAATTATGGTTTCCTTTTTCTGACTTCTGTGTTCTTTTCCAATCTTAACCTGATGTCTGCATTCTACTTTCATTCTTCCATGATAAACTGCACAAATTGTGAAGTGTTTGTTGCCTTCTAAAGTGGGAGGGYGGCACTTTGAATTTAAAGATAAAGAAGTCAAGGAATGCTGAATTATCAGTTGTCCTTCTTGGTTAGTTTTGTCTGAGGCTAAATCCTATATGGAACACTAATCAGTACTGATGTATACCTGTGCTTACCACACATAGACTCTATTCCAAGCACCTCTTAGGTGTTATTTCAGTCTCACAAATCTACATGGTGGGAAATAATGTTCTCTTCTTTCATAGATGACAAAGCTGAGGCACAGTGAGGCAAATGACTTATGGATGGTTAAACAGTTGGTAGCTGACAGAATGAGGATTCAAAWTCAGGCAGCTCATCTTCGGAGTGTGTCCTGACTCCTAAGTCAGCTTCCTCTAATATTGGGGGAAAAAAAAAAAAAGAAAACATGAACTAGAAGTGTGAAAAGTTAGAAGTCTAATCTCAGTTAACTTATTGGAGATTCCATTATTTTCTATGCCTTTATTTTTTTATCTTTATGTGGGTGCTGAGGATTGAACCCAGTGCCTCACCCGTGCTAGGCGAGCACACTACTTCTGAGCCRCTAMCCCTGCCCCTGTTCCATGATTTTTTAAAAAAGTATGGGGGCTACAAAATTTATAAAAGACATGCAGACCCACATTTGCAACTGGATTTGGTTTTTTACTGAATGGGTATCAAAAGCCAATCTTTTAACATCTGGGAACACTCTAAATGTCTTTCTCTAATGAAATTTCCCCATACTTCAAATTAGCAGAGACATCTCACTAGAAGTATCTGAAGGCCTTGTGCTTCTATGCGTCCACTATAGACAGACTATGAGAAGACCACGGCTGTTCTCTAGCCAGCTGTGTTCCAAAGCAGTGGCCCACACACCATGGTGTCAGATCAAGACCTCAGGCTCCCCYGGTTGGATCCAAATAAAAAGCAGAATAATGTGCCCTGCCCATGAAGTTCTCRGTGGGAGGGAGCAGGGACAGTGCTTCCTTCCACTGGGAGATATTTTTTTGGATCCAGAGCCTTATACACCTGGGAAAAGGAGACCTCAGTGACTGCCACGGGAGGTCACTGTGGACCAGCTACTTTAAAATACTAACTCTGGCTTCATTCTCTCTCCTTCATTGTTCTTTTGTTCTGGTGATCCTTACAGTTAAAACTGGAAAACATGGGATTAGCCTCCCAGGCTGTCCTGACAGATAAAGTACTTGAATTTTAGATAAACAAGCAACTTTTTTTTTTAAGCACTAACATATTCCAAAATATTTTTGGAGACRTAGATATACTGAAATCATTTGTTCTTTGAAACCCAGATTCAGCTGAGGCATGGTGAAGCATAGTGAAGTTATTTTACTCTGAGAACCCCAGTTTCTCTTATGAAAGTGTCACCMCTGGAATGAGAAAGCTGGGTTGCCTTTCATGTGAACATCTGTATTTTCAAAAATACATGATAGGTTATCATGCTTCTGATTGGAAACATTTCAATTCTCATGGTGTAGTACATGAAAATATGTGAGGTAGATGATCAACTTTTTTGTCTGATAAAACCATATTTTAGAATGAAAATATTGGGAAACTCTAGCAAAATACTATTTGAAATTTCCTCAATTTGTATTCCTAAATGAGAGGGAAAATAATCCTCTGGAAAGGATAAGTAGACCATCTTTTTAATATTTTTCCACTAGTTTGTTTTTTGTTTTCTAACCACTTCTGTTAATGTTCAATGTACTGAAATGCTTATGATATCCAAAGTAACCTAACATTACTTAGTATATTGAGACATACTTCTCTCTTTTTCTCATACACACACACACACACACACACGCACACACACAAACACACATGCACACACACAAACACACACACACACACACACACACACATGATTTCAAATAACATAAAGCACAGAACATGACTTAGACTCAGAGAATTTTACAAATGGTCTTATTAATCACCAACACAGTTGTCTGGTCTAAAAGAAATGAAGTTCTAAGAGGTGAAATAATTTTTCAGGGATATAGTTACCTAGCATGAAATGCTAGGATGGAAAGGTGAGTGTCCTGAATCTTGGTCCAGTTCTGTTCTAGGCAATTTTTAGAAAAGGAATTGTTTTCAATGTAAATRTTAAGTAAACCATGATTATACTCAGTAGGCAGAATAATGGCTCCTCAAAGACCAAAGATGTACATATCCTGTTTCCTGAAACCTATGAATACATGAGGTTGCATTTCAAAAGGTAATTAAAATTTCAGATGGAATTAATGTTGCTAGTCAGCTGCCCTTTGCCTAAGGAGGGTATTATCCTGGGTTAGCCAGAAGGGCCTAAAGTAATCACAAGAGTCCTTGAAAGTGGAAGAGAGTCAAAAGAGAAGAGAGAGTCAGACAGAAATGGACTACTGAGGATGGGAGAGAGACCAGAAAAATGCAGTGCTTTGGCTTTAAAAATGAATAAAAGGGACCAAAAGCCAAGAAAATTGAATGACCTATGGAAACTAGGGRAAAAAAAGGTAAATTGCTTCTTCTTCTAGAGCTTCTGGAAGGAAAGCAGCTCTGATGAGTCCTTCATTTTAGASTTATTGTCTTCCAGGACTGTAAGAGAATTTGTGTTGCCTTAAGTCTTTAAATTTATGCTTACCTGTTACAGCAGCAATAAGAAACAAATATAGATTCTCAAGCCAAAGTCCATTTGTCATTTTTGTTTTCCAAATTTGTTATTTACAGTTTTCATGATCTTATATATTTAAATTATCATGGTCCAGTTCCTCTTCTATCAAAGCTAATGACATTACRTCTCCTTGACAATTCTACAGTCTTAATTCCCYTTCACACTGTAAGCTGATGCACTACATCAGGAATAGGTTGTGAACATCTTGGAGGGGGCTATTTCCTGCCTACYACTGTTCACTCTCTGGACACCAAAGATTTACCCCAAGGTCAAAAGCTTTTATCTAACTGTAACATCAACTTAAAGTCAACAGTCTTTTATGAGGACCTATTATGAATCAACAAACTCACTTTTGAAAGAAAAAATCTCCAAGTCAAAAAAGTAAAGAATGGCAGACATGCAGCCATGACTTAGAAATATTACACGGTTTGTTCCAGGTATAACAGAGAACAAGTTGAGGCCGTAAGTAATCAGCACTTTTGACCTCAGTCCACTCTCTTCAAAAGGATATTTTATGTCTTGTGGAAGCTTGATACATATGGTACTAATAGGAACACTTTTATGTATTTACCTATGTGTCCTTGTTAATTAGAGTCACTTCTACATAATTCAGTAATTTATTTGGTAAAATCTTGGCTATATTCTTCTTGTTCAGGYTATTCCTTTGTGTAAATATTCCTATGTTAGGGGCCTTAGAGTTAACAGATGAAATTGAGGTTGATAGTCAACTGAGAAATAATGTAATTAGTTTGAATTATCCAAGTAGTCCCAATGAAATCACAAGCATCCTTAAAAATGGAAGAGTTAGAAGAATCAGTTAAAGGGAGATGAGCTATGGAAGATAAGCATGGAAAAATTCAATGTTGTTGTCTTTGAAGAAGCAATAAAAGGACCACAAGCTAAGGAATATAGGTAGTCTCTAGAAGCTACAAAATGATATTCTAGGAGACCTATCATTTTTTAAAGTATAGTAAATGGCAAATTATTTAAAATGAAAGCATCTGTTTGATAGTTAAGARTCAATTTCCTGTCATTCTCTGACCCCTTTCAGAGTGTTGTTTCTATTCAACTATACCAACTCTCAGAAATACCTTGATAAGAATTTTATATTATACGCTGAGRGATGGTGCTTTAACTATCCAGTAACCACCAAAAGGTTTTATTGCTTTAGTAATAAAAGTAGTACTATAGTAATCTTCATAGACACATAATGCATGACTCTCTGAAGATTTTCATATTGCAGGCACACCTAATTCTTTTAGTACTGGAAACACATTGCTTCTCTTTAGCCAGCTTGAAAAATATAGCATAGTACAGAAAAAAAAATGTGAGTACAATCCATGCCACCAGATTCTCACTGTCATTTCTTCTAATCCTTTCTATAGTGAGTTCTTGCTTTACTCTGTTCCCTGCCCTTTCTCCTCGTTTTTAAAAACTAGAAATGTCAGTCTGTTCATTTTAGCAAAAATCTTCTCTGAAGCTAATAAGTATACAGATTTATATATATATATATATATATATATATATATATATATATATATAAAAGTTTGTATGAATTTGATTTAATTTACTTAATTTTTAGTTAGAACATCTTGGTCATTTATAGACAAATACACAGGAATCAAAATAATTATATTTTCAGATTTTCACCATAGCTCAATTACACGTGATCCTTTGTATGGCTTCATATTATGCTAAGGTGTTTCATAAATTACAATCAATTTGGAACATATATATCTGTAGTATGTGSTATACATATCACAAATCCTCACACAAACACAAATGCATATGGAATCAGGAGTTCTGAGTGGAAAAGTTGGGTAGAAATATTTCAAAGTATCATGGAGGAGTGCTTCATTAAGTAGTCATTTAAAGCATGGAAGGACTTAGCCATGGAAATATTCTTCTCGAGATGATTCAGTAAAACGTTTGCAAGGMAATGCTAATACTGTGCCTGGCATCTTCAGGAAACAATGGGGAGTCCAGTGTGGCTGAAACCGAGAACAGGGGAGAGTATGTGTCAAGAGTTCATGGAACATAAAATTATGAGTGTGTTGCAGGACACTCTAAGTTGAGACTTTTACTTTGATGGAAGAAGAGAGTCATTGGAAGGAGAGGACATGACCTGATTTACAGAKGGATCATTCTGGCTGCTGTAGCAAGGGCAGAAACTGGGATGCCATTTAGCAAACTATTGTAGGAATCCAGTTGCAATACATTGGTGGCTTAGATCAAAAGAATAACCAACGAGTGTGGGGTGCAGTGGTCTGATTCTGGATGAATTTGGAAGACAGGGATGGCAAAATATCCTAATATCAATCTCATGTTCAGTTTGAGAGAAAATTCAAAAAGGAACTTTATTTTTTGACCAAGCAATTGGGAAGATTGATTTACTCTCGGAACAATGGAAAAGGCTATGAGCAAGTTTCCTTGGCAATGAATGGGACAGGCAAAGGAGAAGTTCAAGTCTGAAAATGTCAATTTTTAGATGTTTATTAGAAATCCAAATAGAATTGTCAAGTAARAAGTTAGATAGATGAATCCTGATTTCTGGGGAGAGACATGGGTTAGCTAAAAATATTTAGGAGTCACTAACGTTTCAATATCTGAGGCTAGATGAGATAAAAAAAGAAATAGATAATGATTAAATGTTTCAACCTAAGAAATCATAGAGAACACAAGGAATCAAACAGGATACTGAGAAGAAGGAGCCAGTGAAATTAGAAAGAAAAATAGAAGCCTAGATCTTTAGAAACCAAATGAAGAGAGCATGAAGGAACAGGGGGTGATTTGTCTTCAATACTGATAATTGCAAGAAAATAAGAGATGAAAATAATCCTTGAGGATTGTGAGYGAACTCTAGAAAAATTTCTATGAAAAGATGGAGCAAAATCTGACTCGAAAGGATGTAAATGAGAAGGAAAGAAAGGAAACACTTAGTGAGCAWAGGCAACATTTTCTAAKCRTTCTGCTGTAAATGTCAATGGAGAAATGAAGGCAATGTATGCATGGCATTTCTACTTTGTGTGAATGATGATATCTGGAATGGATCATTATGGAGATGTATAGCCTTGACCAGGAAACTTTCTCAATCATGGTGGTTCATTATGCAAATTCATAAGGGAGTTCTATATATCTACATATATATTTTTCCTTTTAGACCTATCTTGGTATAAAGGAAAGACTGCACAGATGGAGCTCTGCATTGGTTATGCTGCAAGCAGAATCTTTTTATTTCTTTACACTGAAATAGATACCATAAAGTTTTGGCAAAGCAGAGCCCAATGACAGCAGTTCTGAAAGAGAGACAAGAGAGTTGATGATACACCTAAAAACGATGAATGCATAAATGGCTATACATACTAGCACTAAATAAAAAGTAGTACGTGCTAAAAGATTAGGTATTAGAATTCACAGAATTCGTGTTTTTTTTTTCTTTTGAGTATTTCTGCATTTAACATTTCAATAGTTCTCAAAGCAAAATAAAAGATTCATTGTAGGTGAACTGACTACTTTCGTCTTCTAAAATGACTTCTAGAGCCACCACAGTTAGTTGCCATGTGCTTATTTTAAAAACACAATATCACAGAACTAACATTTATAGATATTCACCTAACAGTTCTAAACTGTTGTCTGGAAACACATAGGTTTAACAGTTCCCAGGTGATTCTCTGATGTAGTTGTTTCATGAGCCAACTCAGTAATGGTCAATGTTGAGTGAAATGGTAACTTTTATTTTCTATTTGTAATAGCATTCTTTTCAGTGTTAGAGAAGAAACAGTACCCCTTTGGGCAATATGCCTTTAGAGACTAACAGAAGCATGGTAGCAGCTGAACAGATTTAGATCATGACTTCAGCACAGTCTAGGGCATAGTTACCAAAATAATTGTGATGCCTGCACCATCACATTAATGGGTGAAACCAATGAACTAGCTATAATTGAATCTGGTAATTCTGGTAGTTAGATTCCATTGACTTCAAATTGAAAATGTTTTAAATTGCTTGAAGGTGAGAGAATATTGCATCTTATATTCTATGCACAATTTTTATCCACAATGAAAGCCCAACACAGGAAGAATTTTTCATTATAACCTAACACAACCTAAAAATGGAATTTGCTGAGATTTGATCAACCATAGGTTTTCTGTCTGGGATCTTAAAGACATTTATAATGCTAACCTGTGATTTTCGACTTGTTATAGGGATTGTGACAATTGGAGAAGAAAAGAAAATTTGCACTGTCTCTGAGAATTTCTTAAGGATGTGTGAATCTACTGAGGTGAGTGTTTTAACAGTTTAAATTTGTCAGAATTTTAGAATTCATTTTGGTATTCAAAGAATGTAATTAAATCTATATTGAATTTCCTTTTTTTTTTCTCAGTGATAATTTTCCTTGCCCTGGTTTTATTCAGGGAGAGTAGAGAATACATATGAATGAAATGCAGTACATATGTCAGTAAAAATCATAATCAACTTTTCAGATGTTCTAGAAACTCATTTTAATAAACACTAAAAGATTTACAAAGAGATATCATAGCTTTATATTGTTAAATATTACAGAAAACTATCATTATCAATCACCGTTTCACTTTATAATGCAATTTTATTGAAATGATGCAATTACAAAGATTCATATAACTTGTAGGACAAAAGATATTATAATATTGTTTTTGTGCCCTGGCCCATGATGTACTGAAAAATCACTTTTGCTATGATGTACTATATTGTTCCTGAGACAGTCGTGGTCCTGATTTCTCTTCTGTGTGTAATTCTGACATGCTTTGTGGGTTTTGTTGCAGCTGAACATGACCTTTCACTTGTTTATTGTGGCACTTGCTGGAGCTGGGGCAGCAGTTATCGCTATGGTAAGACCTCAAAGCTTAATGCTTGACTTTGCAATTTAAATTACTAAGCTATCTGCTTGTAGAAATGATGATTTATTTCCTATTTGCAGTCCATATTAAGTACAATTACTTTGTCACTCAAAAAAGAGGTAGGGGAACGATAAAAACCAATGTTGATTACATTAACAAAATAATTCATTAGGATTATAAATTTTGATTACTATTGACATAAAAATTATTTTTACAGCATATATATACAGCATATATATATATATATATATATATATATATATATAATAAAAATATCTGATTTTAATTTAAAAGTGTTTGTAACTGGTATGGTATTTTGAGTTATATAACCAATTCCTTATCTATAGTATTCTTTTTTCCTCTTAATTAAGAATTTTAAAACCTTTCTTGAGTCACATATAGATAAAGGATGAAATTATTTATCTTAAGATAAACCTTAGGAGTTTTAAGTCATGTGCTCTTCTAGATCTAGTTTTCATCAGAAATATTAGCAAAAAGTTCTTAAGTTCCTCTTTCAACCCATCAGGCTTTACTGAATTTTGAGGACCTGCTATGTGCCAGATTCTATCTCTTCCTTTAAAACTTACCATGAATTCCAGTGGGCTCAGTGGAATGCCAAATATCAACCATGATTAAGAACTCTTGAGCATCAGTAATCGTTTTGCAGCCAAGAATTTCAGTCCTGCTGAGAAAGCATTTGACAACATACAGCACCTCTTTATGTTCAAAACACTAGAAAAACTAGGGATAGTAGGATCATACCTTAACATTGTAAAGCTATGTATGCTATGCCCAAGGCCAACATCATTCTAAATGGAGAAAAATTGTAAGCATTCCCTCTAAAAAATGGAACAAGACAAGGATGKCCTCTTTCACCGCTTCTATTCAACATAGTCCTTGAAACTCTAGCAAGAACACTCAGACAGATGAAAGAAATTAAAAGGATATGTATAGGAAAAGAAGAACTCAAACTATCACTATTTGTTGATGACATGATATATTTAGAAGATCCAAAAAATTCTACCAGAAAACTTCTTGAACTAATAAATTAATTCAGCAAAGTAGCAGGATATAAAATCAATACCCATAAATCAAATGTATTTCTCTATATAAGCAATGGATCCACTGCAAGAGAAAAAACACCCCATTCACAATAGCCTCAGAAAAAAATAAAATACTTGGGAATCAATCTAACAAAAGAGGTGAAAGACCTCCACAATAAAAACTTCAGCCTTTATTTTATTTTTGTATACTGTAGTGTAAATAATATAGAACTCTTAAAGGTTGTCAATAATCTTTAAATGCATTAGGGAAAGGAATACTTTAAAAAATGTCTTCATTTGTTGTCAAAGATTAAAGCAGAAATGATGAGACAATACTAGTGTGCTAATGAGCCATACCATACCAGTTACAAACACTTTTGAATTAAAATCAGATATTTTTATTGTAAAATATTTTAAAAATATATAGCAAAACTTACTATGATACTGCTAAGATGAGTTTTAAGATGTGTTTTTAATTTAAACACTGCTCAGAATTTTAAATATAGTGACTATAAACCTCTACACAGGAATTCTATTTTACATGTGAAATGTTTAATATGATCATGTTGGCTAACTAATTGGAGGAATTAAAGTAGAGCAAATAAGCAAGAATTTTATATTCTTAACTGAAACTCAATGCCAAAATATGCTCTAGAGAAGCATCAACATATTCCAGCCATTGATGTACCAAACACTATGGTCCCATGAGGTCCCATGTGGCCTGGCTATGAGATTAGAGGAAACAGATGTAAATTTGTATTTAGGCATACATTCTCATATAGTGGATAAATTTTAGTGACATGTGTATGTACAACCAATAGTTCTACTACTGCTAATATTCTTGAAAAACTTAATCCATTGGAGGCACAGAACTGCTTTAGTACATGAACGTGTTCTGTAGTCRTAATGTCACAACCATCATTGACCTCAGATGGTCTCATTCATTGCTCACCATCTAGCCACCATTGTTATCTCCATAGTGTTGAGAAAATTATATGAGTTTTACTCTATCAAAATATTTAAAGCATCATCTGAAACTCAAAGTAAGGGTTGTAAGACTGTGTAACTAGTAAGTGTTCTCCATTATTTTATAGAGATCTTAGAAATTCTTACCTGTTAACAAAATGAGTCACCTTAGCATGACATTGGATGATCAATGTTCACCTAGTGAAGGACAGCAGCAAGGCTGGCAGCTTGTGTTCCCCATTAAGCCAGAAGAAAGCTCTGTAATACCCACTAGGACTTATTTGTAGAAGGACCCTAAATTTCTTTTCAGTATTTCACTCACATATATTTAATAATAATTTAGGGACCATGATTTCCCAAATGATAATAGAAACATCTAAAATATATCCATTTATCTTGCAAACATTTTTAGTACCTACTACCTATTAAGCACTGTTTATAACTCTTGAGATTTTAACAACTAACTGACACATGAATTTGAGTATCTTATTTGATCCACATATATGTATATATATATGGAGAGAGATGAACTCTGACTAACTTTATAAATGAACATGAATAGCTCACAATGCCTGATTTCTAGTGGCTTAGGATTTCCATTAGGCAAAATGTGAAATTTTGAGAAAATAGAACATTTTGAAAACAACTCACAGTGACATGATCATTTTCCTATATCCTTGTGTCAAAAAATTTGAATATCTATTGATTATCTGAATATGCCATAATAGTCACGATTTAAAATCTACTTTAGATCCTTTATGTACCTCTGTTCTTTTTTAGAACCAGTTAGCCTCCTGTCTTTCAATTTACTTTTGACTAATTCTTAAAATATTTAATGTTCTTTATCCTAAATACTGGATAAAAACTCTACCCACCCTTTAGAATTCAGAGAAAAGAGATTACTGACAACCTAGCTTCTCTTCCCTATTCATCCTTCAAAATCTGTCATTTGGAAAACRGCTTTTTATATCCTGAGAACCAGGAGGGAAGAAAAGAAAGAAAAACAAATAAGTGGTCTCACTGCTGAGTCAATTCAGGTCAGACCAGGAGCTTTGTCACTTTTGTAACTTTATTATTCAAGACGGACCAGGAGTTTTTCGACCATGATACATTTCTGGTTATTGTGAAGGTATATGCATTTTAAAAATCCATATGAAATAATAACTTCTGTCTTATAGTTTGTAATGTCAACTGAAAGAAACTGCAAAATTCATTGCATAGAAAATTAACTTGATACTTAAATCAACAGTTTATTCTGGGGGTTTATGATCCCAATTTATATTACCCAGTCAGTAAGGCAATATAAACTCCTGTTAATTCAAGTCACTTGAATATAAAATGTACGTGAGAATATTTGTTTATGGATTATGAACCATAGGTACATGAACATGAAATGTATATAGAGTCTTACGGTTTGAATCAATGAGGGCAGATTGGACAGGAAGCACATAATGATGAAAATGAGTCTTGAACCACTTCAAAATTGATAAAGATGAGCTACTGAAAGAACAGGTGTTAGGAATACCTTATGGTTAGTGGATAGAGGAATAGGAATACACTTCATATTATTCTATTACCACACAAATTTTGGTTCCATGTTGTATGTGAACATTTACTGTATAGTTTGAACATTTCCTTCCTGATAGCATGTAGAAAGTGAACAGACCAGTATAAATTAATTTTGTCCTTGTTTAGGTTCACTACCTTATGGTTCTGTCTGCCAACTGGGCCTATGTGAAAGATGCCTGCCGGATGCAGAAGTATGAGGACATCAAGTCGAAGGAGGAGCAGGAGCTTCATGACATCCATTCCACTCGCTCCAAAGAGCGGCTCAATGCGTACACATAAATTTTTCTGTTCTTTCTACCATTTGAATGCATTGGTGTTGAATTAAGGGCCATCCAACCATCCAACCTTTGAAAAACAAAATGATAGTGCTTCTCATCAATGATATGTAGGGTGACTTACGAATCACCTAAATGCAATTCTTTGTTGTTTAGCACTGAAATTCCTAATTTGTTAAATCGGTAGAATTGGATCTCTTCTACAAGCTCCTATCCAGTCTTCTTTTTGAAATTTCTCCAACTCATTTGATAGTTCTRTATGATCAAAGATACTAACATTGTCAATGCAAAGATTTGTTTGATTTTTAACCACTTCCCATGTGTTATACATAACACTTTTTGCATTATTTCTTATGTTTTGAGAACAAGATAGCTTTTTATACTTTTTAGTTTTGATTTCGGTAACTAGTTTAACTACAGGTAACCTTCAAAGGGACCATTGTACATTATGAACAAGAGGCAAAGATGACATCGTGATGAATCTTCTTGACATACGGAAMTCTTGTCTGGAGATCAGTGGCCACGTTAGTATGGGCCCTGGTTAACGTTTTCAACAATCTAAGGTGCAATTTCTAAATTTATAAGAGTAGGTTAAAAAAGTGCTTCTTATCTTTGTTAACATTGTAATTTTTCTTGATGTATTTCAAAGGTATTTCTCTCTGATTACTCCTATTTATGTTGTGAGCATGTAGAAACAGTGATGCTAATGCATGGCTAGTTGCCTTTTTAAGATTGTGACACCAGGCTTACCTTTTAAAGTTTAGTGTAGAGACAATTTTAATGGAAATAACTACTGTGGACTATTGGAGAATGATCTCTTTGTGATTTATGCAGTGGCTGGATTGGAACTTTTAATATGCTAATGTGGAAAATTAATTACCTTTATGAAGGTGGTCTATTAAAAATAAGCACACTAACCCCTCAAAACTTGTTATACCTACTTTAACAGTTTTAATGGATTGCACCTCTGTAAACTATTCCTCAAATGTGTATGATATATTTGAAAAGGCTTCCATTAATATAATAACTTTGCTTGCAGCCTTCCAATCTATGTTGGCTTACCTGTAGTGTTTTCTCAAGTGKGGTCAAAGGCCACTCTAGAATGTATTGTTTGGAAGTGTAGTGATACATTTGTGTTTTTATTTCAAGTAAGTCATTTTAACCGAATGTTCATTCATATTCATTTATAAGAAGTACCTGTATCAAAGGAATTTTAAAGAAAAAAGCAATCAGTATTACTGGACCAAATTTGGTGTTTGTTTTAACCTTGACTCTCTTCTTTTGATTATTTCTAATGCTACAAGAATGCTGTAAAGTGTCTTTTAAAATGATGTAGCCTGACAAGACATTTTTGTCAGTGTATAAAACTAGGTAGTATTGTGCACTGATTTGACCATTGTGAAATCCTTTCTCAGTGTAAGTGCATTTCTAATAAAATTTATTGAGTGAAACAATCTTTGTACAACTACTAGTCATGCATCATCAGTAATTTTACAAGTTCTTGTAGTAGGTAGGGGGGTATTACTAGGGTTATCTGTGGCATGATTAAGCATTCTGTAGAATTAATTAATTTGGGGTTCGTTTTGCTTTTTTTTTACACTTAGATTATCTTACTGGTTCAAAATTTTTCTGATATATGCAGTATTAAAGATATTCAGCTAAAGTATTAATGGGCTTCTTTAAATTCTATATTATAGTGTTTCAGTTCTGTGTCTTTACAGTTTGTGATGATTTTTAAAACTGTCTTTTAAATTTATGTAACGATGTTGACACTTTTGGCTTTTATTTCTGGTATTAGAGTTTGTATTTTCACAGAGTGCTTTGTAGCAGGCATTACAATTAATCTGTTTTGTACATAAATGTGCCAACAGCTTGATGGTGGCGTTTTTGAAATGTAGAACAAAGTGCTTGCAAAATGTAATAAATACACTTGTGTACTTTGTGTACTTATTATTAGTTTCTGCAGTGTTCTTTTTGTTTTGTTTTGTTGATTCCTCTTTCTTATGTGTGTGCATTCCTTTCAAAAGTAATAGAGGTCATCTTCTTAATATTTTTATTTTGTTTGAAGGGGACCTAATACTTCAAAATTCAGTGAAAATTCAGTGTGTGGACATTTAGTGCAGGAAAGTGAGCAAGTCAGTAAAAAATTTGGTGTCATTTATTTAGGAAATAATAACTTTTCCCAATTTGTTTAATTTTATTGCCTGATTTCTATTGTTTTATGCTTTCTTTAGTACTTTACAATCTCACCGAAAAACAAAAAAAGGCTAAGGCAATTCAGAAAGAAAAGTGATTTCTTGGTTTGCTTCAAAATATCAAGGTGAGAAGAATGAGATGAAAAATATATTTTCCAGGCTCTTTTTGGGGATCTAAATTTTTCTGGCCACACTAGAAATAATGGCAATTTAAAAATAGTTATCAATAAAAATATTTTTATAGGTTTACAAGTAATTATATTAGTTTTTAGTTACACATTGCTATGAGAGGCAACGTGAAAATTTCTTGGATTTCTATTAGAAATTAGATTTCTATTAGATTTCTTTTAGAAATCTCTATAATAATTAATAATATTTTCAGACAAAATGTCAGTTATGTTTTAAAGATCATTTTTTATAGTAAGAAAATTATTAACTAGCTAAACAGTAGTTAAATGATACTTCTTATTATTTCCAGTGTTTATTAAGTTTTTCTTATGGCAACAAGGTTAGAAAGAATTATGTGCTGAAGGATATCAACATGAACATGAATTTCTTAATACCTTGCCTTATCCAAGGGGTTTCAAGATTCCCAGTGGAAGCCTGAAACCAGATAATACTAAACRCTATATAAAGTATGGTTTTCTTTTTTCATTTTATTTATTTTTTTTGAGAATTTTTAATATTTATTTTTTAGTTCTCGGCGGACACAACATCTTTGTTTGTATATGGTGCTGAGGATCGAACCCGGGCCACATGCATGCCAGGCGAGCGAGCTACCGCTGGAGCCACATCCCCAGCACCCCCTGAAGGTTCTTATCAGTGAAGAAAACCTTGAATTCTGTTTCCTAATTCCCCTGAATTATCCAGTTTTTATAAATATTAAATATTTCTGCTATTCCCATTTTATTGACCTAATSAAACTTTTCTTTTTTTTTGATTCTTTTTTTTATTATTAGTTGTTCAAAACATTACAAAGCTCTTGACATATCATATTTCATACATTTGATTCAAGCAGATTATGAACTCCCATTTTTACCCCGTATATTTGCATGCATACCCATGATATTTAATTTATGTTAGGCACAATAAAAGTTTAGCAGTAATAAC